GCATGGCCCGCTTGTTGGGACAGTCTATTTCCTCGAGCTTGAGAGATTCTGCCCGAGGAATGGACAGGGAGGACCCCTTGAAGAATTTCCTATTATGTAGGCATGGAGGTAGATCGAACTTGCTTTTCACGGAATCCCGACTGAGGTCCACGATTTCATTTGTACGAGCGCGCTTGAGCCTCAAACTCACGGGCATGGGGGACGTCTGAGTGGCTGGAGGGGTAGACGAGGAAGTCTCCGATCTTGTCTAGGGAAGATTCGTTCGCTGACTAAGGCGGATTTTTTCTAGGGCCACGCCACCCTTCATCTTTCCATGGGCGTTCTTCACCATCCTGTCCTGCGCCAAAGACATATTACCTGCAAAAAGAACGAGCACATCAGCACATGAAAAGAGAAACATCTCGAATTTAATAAGAAGAAGCGAGAAGCTACCCAAGTGTTTAAGAGCCTTCTCGCGAGTGCTACACTCAAGGAGCTCTTTAGTGTTGATGTACTGGGCTTCCACCTGTAGCCCCCCATCTTCTTCGTAAAACACCTTCCCAGCACGAGTCACACACTAGGCACGGAGGAAACTGTCAACAAAGGCCACCAACTTAACATATCTGGTTCGATCATCATCCCCCAGCTGATGAGGAGTAACTATATACTCGTCAGTCGAGCGGGTAAAATGATCCCCATTCCAGCAGAAAGGGAATAAGAACAGTCTCTGGGAAACTATCTTGCCTTCCTCGTCAATCAAATCCTCCCTGTTCTCGTCCGTAGAGACCTCCCAAACGAATGTTAAGTTGGTAGCTTTCTTCGACACATGCTCGATCATGTAGAACCTCTCTTTAAAGGTCCGAATAGATTTAGAGAAGGGTTTGAATAATTTCCTCCCCTGTTTCAGGGAAACCCAACCGACTTTCCTCCCTGACACCTGTCGTTGAAGATGGAAGATAGTGAAGAAAAGCGGAAGAGTGACCCTGATTTGCAAATACTCGCACACCAATTCATACGCCTGCATGAAGGCAATAGAATTTGGATGCAGTTGGGAGGACGCCAAGTCCAAATGTAGGAAGACTGCCCGTTAGAAGTATGTGAAGGGCAGCCTAAGCCCAATCTCTTTGAAAACATACTCGTACAAAGAAAATCTCTCCCCGTACACCGAGCATATACGATCATCCTCCGAGGGGAAGTGAACCATCCGCTCTCCCTCTGACCCCACCATGCTAAACACATCCCTGGTGTATGAAGCAAAAAGCAAGGCATGCTCCATCGGCTCGGCCACAGTCCACTCCTCAGCATTCACCCCTCCAGCCTCAATGGACGTGGAGTCATCATCTGTTTCGGTATCTTCCGAGGAGCTATCCTTGGACAAATTTCTAAGGTGTTCTTCTTCTTCAGCCCAGCACGACATTGACTTTACCTGAAAAACAAAGGATAAAAGTGAATTCGATGAAAAAATCAAATCCAGCCTTCCACTTCTAGTCAAGTGAAAGGGCACGCAAAGGGGCAAGGACAACATCCTCGGCCTAAGCCCTACTCAAATGGCATAGCTAAACAAACGAGGAAGTGCCCAGGAGTTCTCCGTGGCACATCCGAGGAAAAATCTCAGTGCATAAAACCTAGAACTCTCATGAGGGAACCACCAGAAAGCTCGTAAGCACACCGAAATCTATGGTTCCCTCCGGAAGCAAACGCCACCGTGTTGTCACTACTCCGGGATCAACTAAAAACTTATTACTTGCTAAGTTGCTCTTTCTTAAACGACCATTATGACGCTGGAAATAGAGAAAGTGGTCGAACCATCGTCTGCCACCAACAACCACCACAAAATGCCCTAGAACTACCTCGTTTCAGCCCTAACTGCATGCATTCTAAAGCATAATAACCAGAAAAATAGATAATATGCATAGAATCGACATACTTACTTGGTCGAGGAAGAAACTTATGGGTTTGAGTAGCTCTGGTCGGACTTGGTACGGCGGCCGGAACAAAACTTGAAGGGGGCGAGCGGCAGAGAACGGTGAACAGAGAACAAGAGGAGAGAGAAGTGAAAGTTCTAAATGAACAGACTCTCTCACTATTTATAGGCAAACTCCAGAAACATGCACGATCACGCGCGGGTAGGGCATGATCATGACCCTAGCCTAGCTATCATCACGCATTTAATGCAACACACGACTCGAGGCACACGTGGTACCCCACTCTTTAGACCCCATCAACCGTTGGGGTCCCCGGACCTCAAGCTCCCTGACAAACAAAGTTTCAGACGCCCGGGCACAGATTCCTTCTGGCACAAGGTGGCTTACGAAGACTATGCCCGAAAAGCGGGTTGTTCTTAAGTCATCACTACCATGCTCGGTAGCAACAACTTGGATGGCTACTGTTCTGGACTAGCCCAATGGCTAGGCATGGCCCAATCCACTTCTGCCCCCAGAGTGGCCCAATTGCCTAAGTCCGACCACTTCGAGGGAGAATTTACCTTTCTGCCCCTCCAACAAGGAAGTTTAATCAGTTTACCCTTTTTCACAACACTTATCCTCGCCAGTCTCTTCCCGTCACACACGGTTCCACCATCCAGAATCAGCCAAGACGCTTGTGCCCATAACTACGCCCTTGTTCGTAGCAACGATTAGTTATTGACATATCTTTCTGTTCCAACAGCCAGTTCTGGCAGTTACCTATTCCTCGGGAAATTGTTATCTCGTTTAGAAAATAGGGATCAATGGCCAAACACTAGGGGTATTATAAAAACCCTCTCACTTGAGAGGGTCAGGTATCCAATATTCACCATGAAATACTCATATTCTGTACTTGCTCTCTCTCTCTTGCTCGTTTTCTTACTTTAGCATCAGAGTGCCTTGCAAGTACACCCCCTCCTCCTCTTTCACACCCAACATCACAGACGGTTTTCTTTGGCCCACCTTAGGTTCTGATCAACTGGTAAGATCAGTACCCGAGTTTTCTTGAGTTTTCTTTTGTTAGTTCTAGTAGATTTTTTGTCTTTTTGTGTTTTCAACATTCGTAAAGTTATTTTATTGTGATCTCATTTCAAATAGTAAGATCAAATAATTTTAGGATCGTGACCTCATGTGTGGGTATTATTTGTTACAATATTATCTTTTAATGTCATGTTATGCTTATAGTTTATGTTCATGTAATTCAATTCTTCAAATATCAACAAAACATGTATTTTGTTGTAAAACACGTGCTCAAATTCTATAAATGGAACTCATACTCAGGGTGTCTTGCATATTTCAAATCCAACAATATGAATCTATATGTTTTTTTTGGCATGTTTTAGATTCTATAATTCAAAACATGTCAAACTAGTGATTTCTATTGTGTTGTCAAGATTGCACTAAGAATTTTTGGGACTAAAATGCAGTGGAATCTGTATAAATTGTGTTTGTTTCATTTGTAATTCACATAAGAAAAACAATAAACTCTTACACATACTCAATCAAAAGAAACTCTAACCTAAGTACAGTGAACTACAAAAAAAAGTCCTTATCCCTATTTTCTTAAGATCAATGTCGATTTTACATTGTTTAATCTGAAGGAGCAACTCGGCCAAATGAATCTTTAACTAAACCACCAGGATACAAGAAGAATTATGAGGGTTGAGTATAATTTTCTATCAATCAACGATGATGGATGAGTTTGGTTGACCAACGTACAAATTTAAAATGAAGATGATGTTAGAAACATGTTCTTGATATTTTGTTAGTATCATATCAAGAGATTAGTTAAGTTGGATGTTACCTCGGTTAAATTTTTTTGTATTACCGGTTTAAGATTGATTAGTTCCATAAATTTTGATGAGATTACATGTGCATGATTGAGTCAGACTAAGAAGTAGGTAGTTTGTCTCTTTCATCATCTTATTCGTGTTTAATTAGTACTCTCTCTGTTTTTTATTATAAGTCGTTTTTGACTTCTTACGCATGTTAAGAAATGTAATGATTATAATATGAAAAAAAGAAATTGTGAATGTTTTTACAAAATTATTATTTATTAGTGATATTGAAAAGATAAGTTTACATAATTGAAAAGAGAGAGAATAATAAATATAAAAAAAAATAACAATAATTTATTAATATTATAAAATGACTTATGTGGTATAATTTTTTTTTAAAAACGAATTAAAATGGAGGTAGTACTTTTTATTTATATTGATGGCTTGTTGGTGTTTTCTATAAATAGGAGCTAAAGCCTTTTTGAATTAAAATAAAAGACGAAAGAACAAAATGAGGGAGGGGGCATAAACCAAAACCCTACGGAACATTAGCCAAACTAGAAAAACGAGAGACCTAGCCTATTGTAAATGTAGTCAGACCTAATATTAGTAGGAATATAATTCCACTTGAAAATGGATTGAATGTCTAACCCTATAAATTTATCAACACAACGATTTTATTCTCTAAATATGTGAGAAAAACAAAATACATATTTTTTATTAAATACAAATAATTGAGCCACATATTTCTTAACTACCAAGACATAATATATACAGTTTAAAATACTAAAATGACTAACTTAGAATGTGTTTCAAACCATAGGTTGTTCCAACTTCTTGTACGCAATTTCAATTGCATTCATAGTACCTAAAGGCTCATCATTGAAGGAAAAGGAATGACCAATGTTTACTAGGAAAAGAAAAATCCAATGTAGATAGCATTTGAATAGAAAGAATTGAACCAGTTCTGGTTGTAAATTATTGACCAAAGGTATGTGACCCCTTTGATTGGAATGTGGATCATGTTGTTTATATCAGTCCATGATTGGAAATGTTTAATTGGAATTTTAGCAGGATTATGGAAACCCATGTGCTCATGAACACCTAGAATTGACTTAAAAGTTACAATAACATTTCATTATTATTGATTACAATATATCAACATGAAACAAAAGAGAAAGTACTCTATTTCTATCTTCTCATCCATTCTGAACAGTAAACAACATCTATATCTTTTGCCATGATACATAAACTATATTGAAAACCAAATAGAGATTCTTCAAGAAATGCCTATAGTCTTCCCAAGCAGCCAAAGAACTAGTGAAAGTTGAATACCAAATATGGTATGAAGCGTACTCCTATCCAACATGAATCCATATACAGTAATCCCTGCCTTATTATTCTCTAAGTAATTTACTGCAAAAAATATATATAGTTCTTAAACATTTATATTTATTTTCTAAAACCACAAGAAAATTACAATTGACTGTGAAAAATTTACCAAGAGCTTGTCTTTTCTGATAAGAGATAGTACTGTAAGAATATGATGCAATCCACTTTGTGTTATCAATTTCATCTTCTTCATCACCAGCATCATCACCCTCTGATTCACCATCTGTTCCCACCCTAGGATAGATTTTATCGTGAGAAATTTGATCGGATAGTCTTTCACCTTCGTCCGTTCCATCAAAAGAATCTAACGTCGCGCAAACATGCCACTTGGCAGCTAACCCTGTGATTGCTTGTGCTTTGTGTGTTATCTTTGTTGCACTACGGAACATGATAGACAGCGCAGAAAGAAGCATCACCGAACACAGCTACAAAAGAGTATAAAAACACTCGTAACAAACTATATACGCCTTTTACATTCATTTAACTCAACTAACATATAAAACATTCATAAAGTATTACTTACCACAAGTTCACCGGTTTTGTAGATGCTAAGACCATATCTAGCCTTAGTAGTTTCAAGCAAACACACAAACTGGCTTCCGGTAATCAATATAAGCGCGACTAGAATAAACCTCCGGTATCTATGACTTATGATTCTCAAATGTCTCCTAATCCTTAAGTGTTCAGACATTACCGCTTGCACATCTGAATCAACATGAAAGTATGTAGCGAAATCTTGTAGCCGTAGAATCTGAAGATGACAGATTAAACGGAAGAGAACGCAAACTAGAAATATCACAGTGGTTCGGTACAGCCATGAGCAGAGTTCCAATACGCAGGCTACTATATCACTGACGTACACATTTCCTAAGAATGGAATTTGTGATCCTCCTGATGAGTACCACCATATCTTGTATGCAGCCATTGCTATGAAGCATGGACCCGCAAAAACCGAAATGAGCTTCAAAGATCTCTGCATAAGAAAAATATGAAAGTTGTATTAAAAAAATATTGAAACTTTAACTCAGCTCAGTTCATAACCGTGCAGAGACATCCGATATAGATCATAGGCGCGAATTTGAATAGTTAACAAGAAAACAAAATTAGAACAGAGAAAATTTCAAAATTCCAGAAAATAGAGATGGATGAAACTAACATTAAGCTGAGCCATGTAGTTCATTCGAACCGTCTCGCTCTCATCACAAAGCTTATCCAAAAACAAGAACCTCCGAAGCCCATACTTTCTAACAAACGACGAAAGACACAAAAACGACAACGAAGCAACAGAACTCAGCGACAGCTGAACGACAGCGTCGTACGGTCGAGAGTGTCGAGCATCGCAATCAGGACAGGCAATAAAGAAGTGTGACGCGGCAGGAACAGCCAGCGCGAAGACGATGAAAACGGACCAAGAGAGAGTTGCGGTGAAGCCGTTGGATTGATCGACGCACATCCATCGGAGGTAACATCGGAAACTGTAAAGCTCGTCGTGTACGTGGGAGAGACTGCGACTGTATTTGCCTTTATTTTTTGTATTTTGGGTGTTTTGTAAGAGTGATTCTTCTGTGAATCTGGTTTTGGTGGTGGAGGTTTCGTCCATGGTGAGAAATGATTTGGTTGATGAAGGTGAAATGAATTGGTGAATAGAAATGATTTGATTGATGAATGGGAATTTTGTGATTTGTTAGTTGTTGTGTTTGTGTATCTGTATCTGTGTATAAATAGGTTAGCCAAAAGTTGGGAAATGAATTTGGGATTTTGTTTTATTTTAATGAAAAGTTGTTAAACTCCTATGTTATGTATTGTTTTTATAAGATATTTAGGCCTAATTGATTTAATTTAAATTAAATTAAATTTTTACAAAAAAATTGATATGCCTAATTATTTTTTACAACCAAGAATTACTAGTTACTACACACATTATGGGTAGGTTTGGTTTATCTTTTGGAATATGCAAAAATAATTTTTGAAACTTTTGTCTTTTATCATCATTTTTTTTATATTAAATGATATTGACATTGATAAGAACATTCTCTTTAGGTCTTTTGTCAAGTTGTTTCATAATTTTATTAAATCTCTTATTAAGTTTGAGATATTCTTCAGAATTGCATTCAATTTGAATTTCACAATCTTCATCACTCTCAACATTCTTTTGAGGATTCTTAGCATCATGACAAATCTTTTTGGTTGATAAATAGCTTTTCATTCTTTAAAGTTCTTCATCTTAAATATAATAATACTTCTCTAGAGCTCAACCAAATAGAATATGGTGCATGTTCTAATGCTAGTTGAAAATTTTGTTCCTCGGAGGACAAATGTCGCACCAAATGTCTTGGACAACAAGTAGGTTTATAACATATTACAACTTTTGGGAACAGATGTCATACACGATGTCTGAGATATTGTAAAGCAAAAACAAAAACCAGTTTGCAAGCAAGATATAAAATATTAACATTTGCAAGATGATGAAGCAGAAAAGCAATAAAGAACACAAGACATTGGTAACCCAATTCAGTGAAACTACACCTACGTCTGGGGGTACTCTACCCAAGAAAAAATCCACTACTTTGAATTAGTAGACTTAGTCATACAATAACCAACAAACCCTATATTATTCAAAGCATCTTTCTAATCCTAGTGTCTTTCTATTTAAGAACTCCCCTTAAATGTGAGAACCTACTCACTTTCTTCTCAATCATTCAACCCTTGATTGGTGTTTACAACTCAATGAACAATGTTAAATGTTACAACTCAATTATGACAAACCTTTTATTCCAATTTATAGAAACATAGAGGTGTACACAAAAATCCAACCATAATCTGGTTATGGTATGAAAGGAGGCGCTATAGTGGTGTGCATATATATATATATATATATATATATATATATATATATATATATATATATATATATATATATATATATATATATATATATATATATATATATATATATATATATATATATATATATATATATATATATATATATATATATATATATATATATATATATATATATATATATATATATATATATATATATATATATATATATATATATATATATATATATATATATATATATATATATATATATATATATATATATAGATAGATAGATAGATAGAGAGAGAGAGAGAGAGAGAGAGAGACACACACACACACACACTAAAAAAGTGATGTTTGAGTCTCCTTAAATAGCAATGCAATTCTGTGCTTTTCTTCTTGAATTTTTGATTTAACTTCGTCCAGAATAATAGAAAATCATGTTGGTCTTAATTTTCACCATAAAGATCTCCTACAAAAGATATGATTTGTTATTAACTTAAATTCAAATTAAATCTTCACTTAAATTGATTTGATCTTCAACAATTGTCAAACAAATCACACTCATGCATTGCACAAATACGTTAACAAATCTGATCGAATCTAAACCAAATTTCCCTTTAAAAGCGACAATATTGACCTATTGAGCTAGAGCTAGATGTTGCATTGTACATGTTGGAACATCGTGTTCCACATGTTACAACAATACATCAAAATTCATTCCTCTCCATAAATTGTAGATCTCCTGATGTAAAATGAATCTTGGATAGAAAAATACTGAACCACTACTGCAATAGTTGTCAGATGTTGCAGCATACAATAACATATGTCTTGTTGATAAAGACCAGATGTTGTAACAAACATGTTGGAACATCGTCTTTCACATGTTACACCAGAACATCCAAAGCAACTCTTCTTCATATAAGTCTTCTTTGTAGACTAGTTCTTGGATGAAACCATCCTTAAAGGTACATTCAATCAAATCTTCTTTGACTTAAACAAATCCAAATCCTTTCTAGTTTACTTTGGATTATCAACACAAATTATTCTTTTTCAAAAAGCTAAACTCTGGATCATTTGAAGAAGTCAGCACGTCAACACTTCTGAAGGACATTAGAAGACAATCAGAACCCAGATTTTAAGCATATTGCTTGATTAGTTCTGTCAAGCACTTTAGCTAAACAACTCTTGCAACTAGTTTTGTCAAGCACTTTAGCCAAAAACTCTCATTGGCTAGTTCTGTTAAGCACTTTAGCCAACAACTCTTCTTGGGAATAACCTCAGATGCTGAAACACATGCTTGAACATCTTGTTCCATATATTTTCTAAAATACATATTGTCCAAATATTGTTTTGTCTAATGCAGTCAATCTAAAAGGAACAACAAAATTGCTAATTTCTCTGGTGCTCCTCAAGCGCCTATTCAATCAGTCCCTCAAATTCAAGTAGTTGGGGGTAATTCAAAACCCTGGGGTTGCAAACAATGGTGGTTTTCCTAACAATCAAGTTCAACAAGGGGTTATGCCCAACCGATCGAACAACCTATACCCAGGGCAGTCGAAGAAAATTTAGGTCAAAATGGTCCAAAGGTAGTATTGACCAATAGAAACTAGGATGCAGACTAAGTTGTTGGAAGAATCCAACAAAACCATTTTATTGGGAAGAATAACATAGCCAATTTGGTTGAACAAATTCTAGCCCAAAATGGTCTTAATGTTGGTCTCCACATGCCAAATTTCGTTTCTGCCTTTTCTGAGCAGTATTGCAGACTAAACTTTCACGGGGTTAGAAAATTGCTAAGTTCACTAAATTTACAGCCGATACTAGTGAATGTACTGTCGAACATATTTCTCGATATCAATCAGAGGTGGGTGATTTGGCCAATAATGAAAACTTTAAAATGAAATATTTTCTAAACTCCTTAACTAAAAGCTCTTTAACATGGTTCACCATCATTCCTCCACACTCCATATATAATTGAAATCGATTAGAAAGAGTATTCCATTAGAAATTATATATGGGTCAGTCGAAAATTATCCTAAAAGAATTAGCGAGTGTGAAGAGAAAATTCTTCGAGTTAATATATGAATATCTCAATAGGTTTAGGTTAATGAAGGCAAGATGTTTTACTCGAGTTCCTGAGCAAGAGATAGTCAAAATGGCTACAAGTGGCCTAGATTATTCAATTAGGAAACAATTAGATACCCAAGACCTAAGGGACATGTCTTAACTAGCATACAGGGTTCAGCAAGTCGAACAATCGAAGGCTGAAAAGGCTAGAGTGAATTAGCACTCTAGGAGGTGAAAGTTGTTTACATTGAGACAAATATAAAAGGTCAAGAGATTGACATAATTTTTGAGCATGTCGAAGAAAATAAGGTTAATCTGGAAGAATTAAAGTCAGGACCTCCATATGTTTGCAAGGTTCTAAGACCTTCAAATGGGAAAAATCCCATCGAACCAAGTAAAAACATAAAGTTTGCTATAAAAGCCTATACCTTTGACATAATTAAATGTGATGAGATGTCGATGGTCAAATCATAATACCAACATGCCTAAATAAGCACCATTGGAACAACGGAAGAAAAAAGGTTTTTGTAAATATCATAATTTTCTTAGTCATAAAATGTCTCAATGTGTTTTTTTTCAGGGTTTCGGTGCAGACCGCTCTCAAAGATGGTAGGCTAAAGTTTGGTGACAAAAAGAAGCAACCAATGACAATCGAATCAAACCCTCTGTTAGTCTAAGAAGAAAATCTGGTAGAACCCATAAAAATTATGATGATTGAGGCTATTCAAGGTCCCGACTGAGAGGTCAAAGAGGTGACTATGACAGGTTATGCTGAGAATATGAAAGTGGTATACCTAAAGGCTAAGGAGGAACTAATTGATTTTTTTAAAATCGGTGTAAACTCAAGAAGTATGAGATTATGTTATGCCCTCGTTGTTGTGTAGTTTTTGACAAGGAGGCCACCAAAGACCTAAAAAATGCAAGGCCTAAACAACCAAAGAGGAATAATTTGAGTGACAAGAGGCCACGATTTGCTTTTGACAAGAAAAGAGTCTCATACAAAAAAAAATACCATGAGCCTACAAACAAGTGGAAAAGTCAAAGCAAGACTTACATCTCTCATATGGTGTTGTTCCATCTGGTGAATGGATTCGACCAGCAGTTAGACCAAACTCTGATTAACAAAAGTGGAGGGTAGTCGAAGTTGGCGCCGATTCTTTCTATCAGGACAATTCTCAAGTGTCGTAGAGCTACTTTTATGGTTCTATGCATTATTTAGATAAAAAGCCCATGATTAGATTTTAATGGAAAAGACAAGACACCAAAGAAAAAAGAAGATGATTATGAAAGTTGCAAGTCCAATAATAATGAAAAATTCCTAACACGAACAGAGGATTTAATAGAAAAGAAATAAAATATAGTACCAAGTGTGATAATAGAAATTTTTTACATGAGTTTGAATAAATTACACATTTAAATGAGATCGTTAGCATTATGATTGATAATTGAAATGATATGTCGAACATACTCGTTTAGCGTAATTTTTAATTGGTCAAACCAAAGTTCTGGGTTGAAAATTTAAATGACTATATTAATAATAAAAAAATCTAAAAACTTAAAAATAATTTATATATAATTATATTGATTTTTTTTAAAAGTTGTTTATCAGTTTGAATTTTAAAGAGTTTATAGACTTTTAAAATTTGAAAGAATTTAAGAAATTTTTATTAAAAAATGCATAAATAAAATATATTATAAATA